CTGTATTATGCTCATCTTAAAATGTTGAAAGACTTTTACAAACCTTCAAATAATTGTCTGATTTTGCTCCAAAAGTAGTTTCATCATCTGCCAGAGACAAGTAATCATCATAGAACACATCCAGTATCTCATTTTGCTGCAAGGCCAGCTCAAACCTGAAAGAGAAATCTGTTGCTTTAAACAAGTTGAATCCTCAAAAATTGCTGCGAGATACATTTTTTTTCATGTGTGTAGGACTGGTAATTCAAGATTTTGATCAGATCAGCTCATATAATAATCATGAAACTGGACAGTATTCAAACAAAACTCAAAAGGCTCAACAAGAACAAAGCAAAACATTCAAGGTCACATGAATCAACTGGTGTAGACAACACTGACAGACAAAATATAATGACAGACTTATTGAGACATAATAGGTTGGCTTATTGCGTACCTTGGCGTGACTTTTTCAATAAAGCTGATGATGTCTGTTGTTGCTCTTTTGATGTCATCTTTGGACTTCTCTTCCAAAGTTCTTGCACTATACTGTGTCACAGCATTACGTGGTTTTCTCCTGTAAGTAGATTGAGTCAAACTGAATGCATACAATTCTTTTCATTACATGTATAAATTTGTTTATTTTTTTAATATCAAGTCCATAGGCTTTGGGAATCTGAAGATGGTTACCAGTTAATGAACTTCTTTATCTATGTTTGAAAATACAGTGTACATAATTTAATCTCAGTTCTAAAGACAATACATCTTACCATTCTGTTTGATTTCCATTATCTGTTAACACTGGAACTGCCTATAACAAGACATTCATAAATAGGAATGACAGTTTATATTTTGAGCATAATTTATCCAGATAACTGTAAACTACTGTATATGCTATTGTTATGAGCTACAGCTGTAATCAATAAATAAGAGCTCAAATTGGATTTAATAATTTTTCGTCATATGACAGTAACTTCCACTTCACTAACAGTGGGTCAATTCAAATCTACAAATGCACACAGAATGTACTTTGTACCTGTATGCCTTTGTCTAGTTCTTTCTTCAGCAAGCTAAACCCATCATCTTCAAATGAAGGACATTCTACAAAGCCATCTTTTGCATCAGACACATTTCGGTCACCAAAAGTCACAGGTACCCCAAACTCACGTCTCTTCCTTGAAATTCTAAATTTAACCTGAAGGGAAAATACATATAGGAAGGTGTATGAGGTTACATTAAAAGACAAATTTTATTAAAAAAATTTCCCTTTCTGACCTTAGGTCTGTTTTCTATCACATTTTCTTCTTCCACTTCAACTTCACTTCCAAGTGACTGCCATGGCTGTGGTGTTCTGGGAAACTTTCTGAGTGTTAGGATCAGGTCTTCTCCATCTCCTTCCTCTGCCTCACCATCTTGTGCTTCATCTTGAGGGGGCTGGGGAAAAATAAGAGCATATAAAATAACAATAATTCAATTGGATGAAACAGCTGAAATCTTACACTAACCAAGTTTATCTAATTTCTTGTCAAAGTTCTTACAGAGTTTCCACTAGTAATGCAGATCAAGATAGACAGTAGCAAAATTTGTTTTGAAGATTATTTTCTATTTATTTAAGGACTCTTTTTTTAATTGAATTTAGCTGGCTTTAATAATATATACTATATCTTTAAGTCCATACTATAAATAAAGGAACCTTGTTTTTTTTCTGTATGGATTTGGTTGAGGCCTGTGTGCTTCATGCTTAGGCCATAACTCTGAGTGGAAAAAACTTGAAATCAATAATTAACATTCAGGCCACCATAAAGAGTTTCAAAGCTAATGTTCAAGCATTTGTTCTTAACAAGAGTGAATCATTAATGGGACAGCTCTGATGATGCTCTGACAAAAGAGCTAATGCTCGAAATTTCAGTTTTGAAACTCTTTATGGTGGCCAATTTACATTTAACTTATCAACTCAGTTGATAATACAAAATTACCTTGTTATACTCTCTCACTGAAACAGTACCACAGTTTCTTAAGAAACTTACCCCCTTTATTCAGTGATACTGATGATTGGTTACAGTATGGGGTACACTAATTGATTAGTGATTTGGTCTTATTCCTGATTTGATCTTATTCCTGAAAAATGTCAATAAAAGTTTACACTTACATTAAGAAGCCTCTCCTTAGCCTCTTCAGTGAGAGCAAGATAGAAATTTTGACCATACTTGAACATGGGATCATACACTACAAGGAGTTGATCAGCTGCATAGTCCTACACATATGATAAAAAGACAATGTTCAGAAGAAGCTTTATGAGATGAGAGAGACCTGGAGACATTTCAGTAACCCTTCCACTGCCAAGATCTCTGTCACTAGTAATTCTCCTTACTGTCTATCATACATTTCCTTGGATGTTAGTTGAAAAAAACTTGGTATTGGATCAATAACTAATAATTTATATTTTTCATTACACTCATCACTTGTCTTGAGTCTTTGTATTGATGTGGTAAGGAGAAATTCCGTAATGGTCACTCATGAAAGTTTAAGGGTTAAAGGGACAAAATACAATGTAAAAAAATGTTGGCTGGTTGAAGTCCTGAATGAGTAGCACACACGTTCTGACAGGCAAAAAGATGAGGATGCAGAAGCTGAACACATGCAGGACAAAACGTTTACATGGATACTGATTCCATCAACATCCACCTAAAAGGTATGAAACTTACCAAAACAATTTGTTTGGCTGGATGAAAATCTGAGACAGCTGCCCTGTCTTTGAAATCCTGAATGATTGCTTCCTTCGGGATCAACTTGTGCGGGTTCTCCTCCGTAACATCCTCGTCGCCCTTGCAGCCAAATATTTCTTGGGTTTTGCTTGTGAAGAAAAGTGGCATGATGTCCGACGGAATCTCCTCTTCGCCTTCTTCTTCGCCAGCAATAGAGCCGTCTGCATCTTCTTTTCTTTCTTCAGGCATTTCAACGATAAATTTCCGTAAAACTTATTTGTTTCAGGCAACCTTTACTCACAGTCTGCTTCTAATTGCCGCCATTTTGAATTGAAATTTCCCGGATCCTTTTTAAACACACGTAACCATGAGAACGCTCACTCATCTGGGGGGTGGGAGTAGGAAAGATTCTTGACTACCTGGGGTACATGCACGGTAGTTTAGTAATCTTAATGAAGAGGAAATAAAATGGTCAAAATGCTCTGATCTAATACTTGAAGCAAAGTATTGGATCCAGTTCAGCTTTTTGTGGACAAAACACAGCTTTTAGAAAGAATACCTAAGAAATCGAAGATGTCGTGTTGGCACAATAAAGGATGCCAAAAAAAAAAATTAAAAATTCACTTGACATGTTGGTAGTTGGCGGTAACATATGGATGAACCTTGAAGGGCTCTCGTTGAGACATGTTTTCCATATTGCATCTGTTCCTAAAAATTTGTTAATTTCGAAAATATTTAAAGTGTGGGTTATGATAAACCATATTGGAAAACTGTATTTTCTCTTTTCGGACAGACCAAACGTCAGTTTGGTACACGTTTGAAAGAGCATCAAAAAGCGGTTTTCTTTTGCAAAAAAAGAAAATTTAGCTTTATCGGAGCACACGTGCCTAACTAACCATACAACTAGGTGGGATAAGTCTAAAATTATCACCATTAATCGGCGTTACCACCAGCGCCTTTGTTTGGAAGCTTGGCATATTGACTCCGCCTACGCTCCTTTAAATCGTGATGATGACGGCTTACTTCCTGACGCCTACTTACACCTCGTCAGAAAAAAGGAAGCTAATTAGTGATCGTATAAAAGTACCTCTTGTTGCAGCGTTTAGATCATCCCAGATGAAGGCACTAGACAGGAGTGTCGAAACGTTGGGTCTATGAATTGTAACTTCTTCGGTTACATTCATTAAATCTGGAAACCAGAGTAGCATCAAACCATGTCTGATTGTCCACCTGGTTGCCATGTGAACTTTAATATTACTACTATCTTATTGGGCGTTTCATTTGCGACAACTTTTAATAAAAGTTTCCTTTTTATTTACTTAGTTTATTTGATATCTGGTCAATAACAGGAGATTTCCTGCGTTGTCAATTTAAAACTAGTGTTCCAAGGTTATAGATGTAGGTGAACATTGGTTAGTTTACTTTTTGAGTCGTTAAATCGAAACCATATTTGCTTATGAAACTTACGAAGTTAGAGAAAAATCTGAAAATATCAGTTTTTTTTCCTCTTTGCTAAGGAGTGATTTCATTATGAAATATGGCGGGAAAAGATCAGAAAAATGTCCTACGTTATTGGCTTGATTGATATATAAACGAATATTCGATCAATCAATGACATGGAGTTGCATATGATTGAAAGAAGTACTTGTTTTTATAGGTTATCTCTCCCGTTATACAAATAACAATGAAACAGTTCGCGAAGTAAACGAATTCTATGTAATGAAACATTGAAGTTCAGTCGAGTTCATTTCCTATAGCGAGAAAAGCACAGGGCATTTCATCATGAATGAGGCAAGGCAGAAGATGCTGTGAAAAAATCGTGAAGAATCAGGCACTGAATCCTTTAGATTTGGTTCACGGGTGAGACACAGAGTTAACAGCTGAGCAGATTTTTTGTTTGTCCTTTTTTAACAAAATATAAGAAAACTGGCAAATCTCTAGACTTAGTGTATTAAATTTTGGGGTCCCAATTCTTGGAAGTTTCGTAATATTTCGCTACTCTTGTTTTTTGAGAAATCTCTGAGGGATCTTCTCTCCGCGAAGTAGTCGGTGTTCACAGCAGCATGGATCTCGGAAAAATCGATACATGTGGTATATTTACATTAGAAAGAAAAAAGCCTAAAGGGCAAGAATGTTTTATAAGAGAAATAAACTATAGGGCGTAAACTTTAGGCAGCATAAAAAAAGAAAGAAAAAAAAATTAGATTTTTATAAATAGCTCATTTGTTTCCAAATAATTTACAGACAGATAAATAGCCAATCAGAGGAAAGGACACTATCTAGTTGTCATTCGATAACTGGCGGCAAAAAGTGCGTGGTGTTATTTTCATGGAGGATGCTCGTTAGCCGACAATGAGGCAGTTTCTCTGATCTTAAAATGTCATTTTGAAACCGTTACAAGTTGTTGGGCAGTGAGCCTAGAGCCATGCACGTGGTTACTCTATTATACAAAGTGCTTTCGGCCTTGTACTTGCCTGAAACACAACGTTTAGAGCAATGCTAGTGGTTTTGATAAAAAGGTTAAGTCTTATGTTATATAAAACAACATGGAAAGACCTTTCAGTCATCCTACAGGTATTGAAAAAGATGGCGGAAATAATTACACCACAGGAAGGACTATGGACGGCTGTGATATCGCTAATATCGGCGAAAGGGATCTGAACAACAGCCAGGGAAACGTGACGCCGGCGATAGAAATGTTGAGTTTTAAAGACTGTGACGACGATGAAAGTGAGATGGAGACGGTTGAAATAATTAATTTGAATTCTAGTGGACAAGGGCTTGACATCGAGACAGTGGTTGAATCATACTTAGTCGAAGGTAAGAAGACATTTTTTTTAAATGCCCGCACACGAAATATTAAGTGGAGGGTTTAATTGGTGGATGAGCGGAAAATGTGTCATGAAATGCATGTTTCTTTGCACGTGGTACGTACGTGTCAGGGCCGGCGAGGTTCGCAAACTTTCCCGACAAATTGAATAAACATCCTCCTCTAGTGATACCAAGTTGGGTAAAATTTCCGCACAGTCCCATACTATTGTAAAACAAATCTGTTTTTCCAGTGGCAATGTACTGTTTTTGTCATTGTTTTCTCTATCCAATAACTGAATGCATAATGTGGTATGGGGCTGTGTGGAAATTTTACCCTAAGTTGTTTTTAGGGTTATCAAGTTGTTTTGCTCTTTGTAAAGATTCTTGTGATATTATTGTGATGGTCATGCGTGGATCATGGCCACGTTTATTAGTCAGTACTTTCAGTTATGTTATCTCTTTCACACGACGAGTGTGCTTGGTTGTGTCTCAATCAGCCTGTTTCTTTGCAAGAGGTGCCAGTGTTGGCGTGGTTAACAAACTCTCCTCGCTAATTGAGTAAAGCAGGATTTTTTTAAAATTGAATACTTTGTCAGAAGAGTTTTTTTTGTATATTGATATTCATGTGACAAAAATGTGATGAACTTGCATAGATCATGGTCATAGTAATATGGTACCTTCAGTAATGTGATCTTTATCAAGCAACAAGCTTGATTTAATTAACTGGCCCAACCTCAGAACTGCCACAAGGGCTGTAATATTCTACTCCAAAGGCCTCAACAGAAAGTGAATTAACTCCATTACAAGAGGATGATACCTTTACAATACCTCACTGATAGTCAGCCACCCAAAGGTTATTCCGATCATGGTATTGGTAAAAAGCCATGACAATCATTCAATCAATCAGAAAAAAATATTTAGTTTCACTCGATAAGCTGCTAGTACGACTTCACATAGCTTTCGAGGGTTAGCAAAGGGTGGGTCCTAATCCCTTTCCACACACAAATTCTTGAAAAATTTATGTGACCTGTAAACTATATTTTAAAAAATGTCACAAATTTAAAAGGGAAAACTTCATATCATATGTACTGCCATATGCTTTCCTCTTCAAAAGCCTAAATGTGATATATGCCTTTGTGTAAAAGCATGTTTTGTCTAGGATTTCATTTTATCAGTTGGTGCAATACACTTTTAAGATTTCCTTTGAAACGGTGTATTAAAGAACAGTTACCTCACTGTGAGGAATGGATTATCTTGTGAATTACTTAAGTGTGTTCACATTTTAATTAAACAGGTGATTTATTTATCAAAACAATCCAGCTAGGATGCTGGGGATTGTTGGCAACTATGCATTTTATTATGTCTGGATTTGATTTAACTGTGAAGTTCTACATACTGTTTGAAAAAGTGCTTGTAGAAAGTACGATTGTGGACATTGATACCCTCATAAATAACAATGCAGGAATCACAAACACTCACAAAAATTGAAATAACATTTTCTGACTTTTTGAATATTTGTGTTTTACTGATTTGGTAAACTCTAGTAGTAAGGTGTTAATATTCTACCCTAGTTGCCAGAATTAAAGTTGTTTACTCACTCACCCACTCAATTCTGGATATGTTAATGTGTATAAGTCCTTTTTCAGTTGATATCAGTTGATTGGATTCTTTTTTGTTGCCCACTTGTTGAATTTTAACCCTCTACACCTGAGCTAACATCAGTAAGCATGTTCTTCCTATATTTCCTAAAGTGCTGACAAGGAGAACTTGTTTTAACAATCAGTAGCTTCTTAAGTTGGTGATCATTTCCTTTATTCTTCTGACCTTAATATGTGATTCAGGGGAGATATTGTAAGGAGAAATTAGATGCTGGTCACTTATACGAGTCAAAGGATTAAGAATAATGTTAACAATGCATTACATGATAATAATGGGATAATCTTGTAAACAAGTAAAGTGTAAGAGAGTTGGTTCAGAATACATTTCTTAAATTTACTTACTTGGTTTTAAAAATGTTCATTTCAAGGAATTTTTTTTCTTTTAATCTAGAAGATGGTGTTCCTGATACTTCCCTAATGCTGTCTAGCCACCAGGTGAATATTTAATTTATTTTATGCACATCCTTTTTAAAATGAACGATCATTTACAATAGTTGATTACTGATAATTATGAATTTTAATCCTTTAACTCTCAGAAGTGATTAAAAAGTGTCTTCTCTTCATGATATCCATACATTATCTGGCAAACAGTTAATAAGAATGCTCAAAATTGTCAGGTAGAATTTGTTATCTAGATTAACACCAAATCCCTTTAAATAATTTACAAGGAAATGTTTGGCTGTTAGAGGAGAGAATGAACAATTGTATCTTGGTACTTGAGTGCAGCTTCTCCCTGTTGTCCTGTCATGAGCCAATGAGTAGCTTAACCTTAGCATTGATATCCACAACGTGGTATTGGGACCAAACCTAAGGTTGGGCCAGTCCAGGATAGCTAGCCCCAAGATGTCACATAAGTTAACCCTTTACACCCAAACATCAGTATGTATATTCTCTATACTGTTATCTATACATTTCCTAAGGGGTTGGAAAGGAGAATTTGTCCGACAATCAGAAGCTCTTTAGTTGGCAATCATTTCCTTTATTCTCATGATCTTAAATGAATGATTCAACAGAATTATTGTGAAGAGAAACTAGATATTGGTCACCGTTAGTGTTTAAATGGTTAAAACAGTGTCTTTGTTGTAGTACTGTATTTAATTTTTGTTTCATATACATATAACTTCATTTCTTTCAATTTTCTTTATCGCAGAAACTCCCTTCAAAAAATTTCTGTGCAGAAATCAGGGCAGCTAAGGATGTTGAAACTTTCCTTGAACGACCAACACTACTTCTTGGATTGCATGAGACAAGTCTGCAAGGAATTATTGATGCAATGCTGAAGAAGCTGATCACTGTAATTGGTGGAGAAGACATTGATTTTGAAGAAGCTAGGCTGTCATTTTTCACCCATGACTCTGGTGAGGAGTTTTATTATAACTTTAAGAAATATTGAGTACTTTACAAACTGGATACTATTTCATTCTTCGATTAGCCCTTTAATTCCCAGAAATTTTTAAATGTAACTTCTTGTAATATCCTTACACTATCCAACAAACAGATTATGAGAAAACTCAAACTTTTCAGGTAATAGTTGTTATCTTGATCTAACACCTGGTTCTTGTAACAATTTAACAAGGGAATGTGTTACAGCTGAAGGGGAGAATTGACAATCAGATCTAAAAAAATGTCTGTAATTAAAAATCGCTTGTTGAGGGTGATTTCAGTTGCAAATTGACAAAAATTTCTGACCATACTTGTTTCTTAAATGTTAAAGATTGGATTGGATATTGTCCCTAGTGATAATATTTTATATTAATTAAATTTTGGTTAAATGTTCCTCTTTTAGTTCACTGCTTGGCTAAAATAATCCAAGGAACAGAAATATCTGAAGGTGGAGGCTGGGAAGAAACTCAGAATTGGCTCATTGCACTGTAAGTCAGTATGCACATAAGTGCAGCTGTGTTGAATTGCAATTGAAATTCTATTAAGTTGATCATCAGTGAGGCTAAACTGCTTTTAGTCAGTAAAACATGGTTTGGGTTTATTATTTTTTATTTTTAATTGCACTAAGCTAGCTCACTGTCAGACTGCCATCGGAGAGGTAAAAGGTTCAAGCCTGAGACAGGACCACTACTCAGGGTTTTAAAATAACTGAGGAAAATGTTGTGCCTTTGTTCCAACAACCGCAAATGGTTACATGTTGTAGTCTGCTTGGATAAGGATGATAACCCATAGATCTCCTGTTCTGCATTTTCTCTGTACTGGTTAGTAGGAGGACATCAAAGAACCCATGCACTTCTCACAAAGAGTTGGGAAAGTACCCCTAGTGTTGTAGTCTGGCTTTGTTATTGTTTATAAAGCCCCCTATCTAAACCAGCCTTAAAGCTGAACTAGGCCAGCCTTTCCAAATGTTGTAAATGAATAAATTGAATAAGTAACTAAATAATTTTTCATCATTTACTGACCATAGGGGAGAACTACCATCTGTGCAGCAGAGCCATGTGGCCTTTGCACAGCTGAGACATCCTGTAAACTTGGGAAGAACACTTGAGGAGACTCATTTGGTTGTCTTGGTGCTTGCTCCTAGTAAAGCTGTAAGTTGCTGTATATTCACCCTTTACACCTTAACATCAGTATGCATACTTTTCATACTGTTCTCTAAGCATTTCTGTCAAGGCTGTCCAGGAGAATTTGTTTAATCAAGAGTTTCTTGAGTCTGTGATCATTTCCTTTCTTCTCAATACCTTAATGTTTGATTCATGGGTGATATTGTAGGGAGAAATTAGATGCCAGTCACTCTTAGGGGTCAAACAGTTAAAGGCAAACATTTTAAAGTCAGATGACCATGTATTCCTCTAATTAGTTGCTTTATTCGTGGCAAGAAGTTCAAAATTATATTAGGGGTGAGTGCTGGGAATGAGTGAGGTATAGTTCTTGCCACTCCAATATAAAATGAATATCTTATACGGTACTGTGTAATATCCTCTGTATAAATTAATGTGTGCGTTGTTTATTGGTGAGAGGATGATACAAAGTCAATGAGGAGCGTGGTTGAGTAGTATACAAATACTACTCACAATACTACAATGTTCAGCAAATGGGAGTGAAATTAATGAATAAATAATATTAGATATTTACCATTTTGTTTTAATTTTAACTTGTACTCCTTTACTAGCTATTTTATTGTTTAAAAAAAAACCTTGATTTGGGAATATATGTAGTTTGTTCTTGAAAGTTGCCCATTGAGATTTTTTTTCTTAATTTCATGCCATTCAGAAAAGCACAAAGAACTCACTGGAAACAGGAAGAACTTTTGCAACATTATTGTCTGACATAGAGACAAGGCAGTTGCTTATTGAAGCAGAAACAGAGGAGGAATTTAAGGTTTGTTCAAGCTGTAATTATGATAATGAATTTGACTTTGCAGAGATTGTTTGCCCTCTGTTTTTTATAAAGAGTTCAAACTACAGCATGTATTTTTTTATCATATGGTTTCCATTTACAGAAAGTACTCTCAGTGCACAAAGAGACGCTTTCTTCTCGATCATGGTCAAAACGTAAACCTACCCGAAGGCAATTTGGTCTCCATCCAAAGTCCTCCTTTATCCATCAAAGAGATGATGAAAAGGTATACAGTTGACCAAGACGCCAAAAAGCTTTTTTTAATCTCTCTATTGTAGAGTATCTCTGTATATGTGTCATTTGACCTTTTCACTCCCAAGATCTCATATTAAGTAATTCTCTTTAATGTCTTCCATACAGTTCTTATGATGTTAGTTCTGAGAATTTGGTCTTGGATCAACTGATAATCTCCTAGTTGATAATTTTCTTTATTCTCATCACTTATCTGCTTGATATTGTATTAAAATTGTATGGAGAAATTCTGTCTTGGTCACCCAGGGAGAATGAGTCATTCAGTAGCATGGATAATGTTTTATTATTTGTGCATACAGAGTACTGGTACTTACCTTATCCATCAATTTGACAGAGATCAGAGCTGTTCTCATTTGGAAGGGGGGTCATACGCGACTTTCGAAGGAGATGGCCGCATTATTTATCTGACTTTAAAGATGGTAAGTTGAAGTGTATGTACCAAATTCATTACCACAGAAACATGGAATATTTTTCTCAAATACTTCCTTGTATCTTTCATGTGAATTACTTCTTTATCCAAATTTTTTTTTAAAGTATTGTAACAGGTATTAAGAATGCATTTCTGTCTTAAATCAATCATAATGTGACTGTAAGTGGATTAAACTAAATGTTGTTTTAATTATTTTGGCCTTATCTTGTATCATGTGAATGAATTTTTGAAGAGTGGCTTTCTTGGAATTAATTTAATTTTCAAACTGTTTGAGAATGGTTTGCAAGCTGACCCTTGTTACTTTTGACAGTGCATTTTAAGATTATTTTATTATTTGTATTTTTTTCAATTTTATGATTAAATAGGAATAAGAGGTCACAGGACCATTCCTAAAGTGATCTCCACGACACTATTCTTATACTTTGCCTGTATTCTGCCATCTATTGCATTTGGTGTTCTCAATGGCCGCAACACTAAAGGACAAATTGGTAAGTTGGCTAGGTTTGTTGAGACAGGTAATGCTATGTGCAGGTTTATGTCAGAGAAATTGACAGAAATGGTACAAATACTAGTTGAATAGTTTGTTTTTTAATTGCCGTAGTTAAGAATTTGCCAGTAGGTTTTTACATTTACAGTTCAATTCATTTAGTGATTCATAAAATTTATATTGTCAGAAACATTAAAAATTTTGAATTTATTGAACGTGTTGTGATAGCAGGTCCACAGTAACTGATCAGTGTCACATCATTAACAAGTTCACTTTACACATTTTATCGTGCAGAAGCACAGAGAGTTTGTTGCATTGCATTACAAAACTTGCAATGAGATTTGGAGCCTGAGCTATGACCCACATCAATTAGCTTACACTTTGTTGTCATTGACTGTGATTTGCAAGTCACATTCTTTAGTGATGACTTAGATGTTGACTGCTCCACTCATCATTCTTTTACAGATGTTCAGAAAGTAATCATTTCACAATCTGTGGGAGGAATTTTGTTTGCCCTCTTTGGAGGACAACCTTTAATTGTTTTACTTACCACAGCTCCACTGGCACTGTATATCAAAGGTGATGTGTAAATGTTGTCACAGTACAATAGTAATTATATAACTTCTGCTGGTAAACAAATTGTAATACATTTTAATCAGAAGAAAATGACCTGAGAAGAAATCCCAATTTAAAATTGATAGCAGCAATGGCATGTCTAAATTTTTTGTATTTTTCTTATTTTGAAAAAAAAATGCTTATAGGTAAACATAATAATAATAATAATAATAATAATAATAATAATAATAATAATACAACTCATTTATGTAGCGCATATACAAAGGCACTATACACTTTACAATGTAGTACACAGAAGTAAATAAAATGCCTTATAAAAGAAATCACTTAGTCACTAAAAACTTTGGCAAAAAGAGATGTCTTAAGTTTGAACTTAAACATTTCTAAAAATTTCCAAACATCTCATCATTATTAATCACTTGGCATTTGTTTTTTCTTTAGTTATTTACAACATTGCAGTAGACTTTGATTTGGATTTCTTTGCATTATATTCTTGTACTGGTCTTTGGAACTCATTCTTCTTATTTGTGTACTCTACATTTGGTCTTTCCCAGATAATGAAGTGGTCAACAAGGTACAGTGTTTCTTCAATATTCATCAGTTTTATTTTTCTCAGGTTTAAAAAAAAGCAGACATTTATTGTGTAATTTTCCATATCTTTTTCTTGAACAAAAAGTATGCAGCCATGCTATTCATTGTGAGTTTCTGGAGATTCTTTATCATGAATTTTTAGTTTGGTTAACATTTGATTTGTTTTAACCATGTTTATTTTATGGCAAGATAGTCTTGAGGTAAATCCAAGCACTCTGATTGGTTATTACTTGGTCTATATTTTGGTATAGCGACTGTTTCCACAGAAATGGTCCAAACACATGTATTTTTGGTCATGAAAGCCAACAAATTCCAATTAAACATGTTTGGTCTGTGTGCCATACAACAAACTACTTACCAATCTTGCTTGCTCAAGGCATACAGGGGAATATTAGCCCTCAGTCCTAACTGCCACAACTTTGGGCCAATATTTTCCAGTACTGCTCATGCGCTCTGTTAGTGAGAAGTTAATTTTTTTTCCTTCTCAGATCAACAGAGGAAATTTTTGCTTTGTTCATCTCACTTGCATTTACAGTAGATGCTATTAGTAGTATCATCAAAGGTACTGATAATGATTACCCAGAAAAGAACAAGTTGTTATTTTTCATTCTGGATTGGTGGAAGTGTCTCTGTGAACACATTTGCATGTGTGAAAATGTGGTGGTGGTGTATTTACAAGCTTTCAGAACATAATTGTGTTATGAGAGTCATAGACATACACAGGGTGTTTTAACAACAATTTTGATAAAGATCAAAACAAAATGATTAATAAATGATTAACCTTGAGTTTTCAGCTTTCAGTTTTCCTACATTTGTTCTGTTTTACAGATTTCTGTTCGTGTTTCAATTTTTTCTTTGCCTTTGTGACTGGGATTGTTTTAAAAATTTTACCTGAGAAATTTGCCCTAAGAAATTTGCATGCAGGCAGCCAAAATTGTTTAAAATTGATTTTTTTTACTGCTGTGTTGTCTGTTTGTTTGTGTATGTGACTATAGCACAATTAACTTCTACACCCTATCATTAGAATGTGTACTCTCCATACTGCTCTCCTTATTTCCTAACATTCTTATGAGGAGAATTTGTAGAACAATCAAGAGCTTCTTGATTTTGTGATCATATCTTTTATTCTTAATACCTTAATGTTTGATTTAGTAGTGATACTGTTGGGAGAAATTAGATGCTTATCACATGAAGGGTTACAAGGTTAAGTGACTGTAAAGTAATAATGATTGCCTTTTTTACTGCTAGTTTTTAATAAGGAATACTGTGGGAGTTGTTTGGTACATGACTGTATATATTTTTTCTTTCACCAAAATCTCCTTGACAGAATACTCAAATCCTCACTGTACAAGCTTAAGTTCCTGCTGGAACTCATCATCCTGTGTTGTTGGCCAGGCAATTGCTGATAACTTCACTCATGATCAGGTCCCAGATGTATCTGTTTGTAGCAGAGAGGGAGGTCTCTCCTATGCTGTTATAAGCTTAGGAACAGTTTGGATTGGTGTAGCACTGTACAATTTTCGTAAGAGGTCAGTAGCAACAGGGTAATATTTGCATTTGCATGAAAGGAGTGCCGGGAAGTTTGTCTATGATTCCAACAAGTTGGTTTTTCCTTATATTTAGGTGTGATTAGACCTTTGTTACAGAGCACTCCTTGATGTGACTCTGTTCTGACTGGAAAAGTATTTTATCCTCTGAATTTGCAGCACAAAGTCTCTGTTTGGTGACCTGTGTTCTTCAGACATGGAGCAAGTTGTAACATGTCATAAATGTAGTTTCAGTGGTTTGAAGTCAAAATGAGATGAACTTTTTCATAAAATGTTGATCATGCTGTGTAATTTTCTACATTAAAAATTTGCTTTTTTTCATCCTTGGTTTACTGAATGCTGAGTCTTGAGATGTTGCAGGATTCTCTTAAGGCAAACTACCCTAATTAAAAAGATGCCTAGATTTAAATTGTTTCTGTACTGCATTTGTTTTTCAATATGTTTGTTAATTGATGGAGTATATTGATTTCAGCCCATTTCTTGATGCTGGAAAGAGAGAGGCATTGGCTGATTATGCACTTGTGGTGGCTGTACTTGTCATGTCTTTTATTGCTTCATATTTTGTACGAGATATTGATAGTAAGTACTGCAAGATAAGCGCAGGGTGTGTTATTGTTTCTATGATATTTACTTATTCTACTTCATAAATGTGATAGAAGTGAAAAATAAATATCAGATTCTGGGATTTTACATAAAGATCAGGTCCTGGTTGTTCAAAGGTTGAATAACGCTATCCACTGGATAGAACTCTATCTGGTGGATAACGCTATATGTTTAGCTATCACTTATCTGCTGGATAGCAATTTATCCATTGGATAGCGTTATCTGCCTTTTATACAACTGGGCCCAGATTATTATCATCACATAGTGACAATAATAAAAAAAATATTAGGATGACTAACTTGTCATGAGACAACCCTGCATTCAACTTTGAATTCTGTGGTAGTTCATAATTTCAGAGCTACATAAAGAAGGCAGTCTATTCAAAATTTAATCAATATGATTATAACTTGATCCTTTCTTCCTTATGATTTTTCACAGATTACAAGTTTGAATCAAGTGGTACATTTTCATTTACTGTTGCTCCCTTACACAAGCTCACTTGGGGTGCAGTGTTTGCTGGACTTGGGTTAGGGTTCTCCCTTTCTCTGTTGTTTTTCATGGATCAGAATATTTCAAGTGCCATGGTCAACAATCCTGGAAACAGGTACATAACTTTAATTATTTTTTTCAAAGAGGGTTTGCTAAGAGATTCTGTACTCTGCTTGGTGCTTTGTTTATTCCATGGGTCTCTTTTCAGCCCACCATTATGGTAATGCTTTCATTAGTATTTTAAGTTTGATTTTTTGTCCGAAGGAAAAGATGATTCAATGATTTATTGAATTTTATATAGTCAATGTGTTCACTAAATACCTACGACCTTTTACTTGGAGATTTGCATTCCTAGATAGTTGATGAGCTTACAAAGCCTCAGATTGATTATCAGTACTGCAAAGAATAGCAAAGTATGCCAGTATTGAATGATACTGTTTTACTCTTAATCTCTCTGTAGTAATTATGATTGATTTTGGCAGGATTTTTGATAAATGATTAAATCACATATCTTTAACCCTGTCATTGTTACCATCTACTAAGCAGTGATGTCAAATCACCAAATTTAACTTATTTGTTTTCATTAGATTAAAGAAGGGTAGTGCATACCATTGGGATTTACTTGTTGTGGCTGTAGTCAATGGCTTTCTATCAATTTTTGGCCTGCCATGGGTACATGCTGCACTTCCTCATTCACCATTCCATGTCAGGGCATTGGCAGATGTTGAAGAGCGAGTGGATAGAGGACATGTGTTTGAAATGTGAGTTTAGTATCTTCCAGTGTAGAGACCAAGAAGTCTTTATATATATCCAACCATATAAAGATTCCTTTGAAACCTTTTTCATAATCAGGATGACAAATCAAGTTTGTTTTTATACAGTAGCAAATAATTAACAGAAGTGAGTGGTTCTAAAGCTGGGTAAAACTAGTGACCAGCTTAGGTTGAGAGCTCCCTAATCTTGCACTCAGAAAATTGATAGGGAATTAATGTGGGTTAGTTCAAAGTGATTGGAATGCTATTGAACATAAGTCAGAGTAATGTCTAAAAACTGAAAAATGGTGTCAGTTAGTAAAAACATCTGTTGAGTATCTCAACCAGTCAGATCACCTTTACTAACTGTGAGCAGAGGAATCAGAAACCCTGTGGATTGTGTATGAAATTGTTTTTTGCAGAAATCAGAAATGTAGTATGAAATTCTACTTAAATTATGATAAATACATGTACTTTTACTAAGGAATGAAATGTAAAGAAGGAGTAGAGGGTAATTTGAATACCTAATAGTTATTTTGCATTACAGTTCCACTCAGAACTTCAAAGACCATTTGACTTCCATTGCCCTTAAATTAATTTTTTTTAAGGAATTGCTTTAAAAAGTTCTTCAAATGAATGGCAATTTATCTGTTGGATTGAAATATGTTTGTTTTTCCTTGGTTAACTAAGGCTATTTGAGCCTTTGAAAAAGAAACAAATAAGGATTAAGGATTTTAAATATAGTGTTTTTTTTCTTTTGCAGTATTGTTAAAGTTAGAGAGACAAGACTGACTGGGTTTCTCTCAAGCTCTCTCATTGCATTATCACTGTTGATGTTACCCATTCCTCTCACACTGATCCCCACACCTGTCCTTGATGGCCTGTTTCTTTTTATGGCCGTGACCTCCTTATATGGTAACCAGATGTTTGAAAGAGCCTTGCTGTTGGTCACAGAACAGGTTGGTAGGATATCAAACTCTTTTGTCACAGGGTTGTGCCCTAACAGAGTCCAGTTGTCACAGATGAGTAAAGTGCATCTGAGCCACATAGTGTTATTGTCAGGGAGAGCTTTTCAGAGCTATGTGCCCTGGATTTTTGAGATTTAGAGTGTCCAGCTAATTATTTGAAGAGCGCAACCCTGTGTATGCAAATACTGTCTCTTTTCATGGTGATTATGTCTTGTATTAATTCTGGAAGACCATCATGGTTTTCCCCTTTGGACTTTCTTATGGTTCAACTCTATGTTGATTTGGAGACAAAATTTACTCTACTTGATTAAATTAGCTCCTAAGTCATAAGAAATTAAATTTCGTTGTTATAATATATTACAATCTGCTATTATTAATGATTAAGTTTTGATACTTCTTGTCATTTCTAAGAGACCTGAAAATATGAGATTTGTTCATATATGTTTAATGTTGTAGGCTGCCTACCCACCAAACCACTACATTCGGCATGTGCCTCAGAGAAAAATGCACTTGTACACTGCTCTGCAGTTCTTACAGCTTGGTGTTTTATGTGGATTTGGATTTGCCCCATTGCCATATCTTAAGATGGTGTTTCCTGTTCTTCTCATGTTTATATTGCCCATCAGGTAAGACCAAGGTACAATTTGAGTCACCTCAACGGTTAAGCCTTTAGCTCCCATGGGTGACCAAGATATAATTTCTCCCTATAATAGAAATACAATATCAAGCAGACAAGTGTTGAAAATAAAGCAAAAAAAAATAAATAACAGGCTTATTAGTTGATCCAATACCAAATTCTCTGAACTAACATCAAAAGAATTTTATGATAGGCAGTAAGGATAGTTGCTAATGAGATGTTGGGAGTGAAACAGCTGAACATAGAACAGGAAAGAAATTTTTTGAGGAAAAAAATCTGGGTCATAGGTCATATCCCTTTTAGGATTCAGACTCCATCCACTTTCTGACTTTGGCAGTAGCGATAATTTTAACAAATAGTGAACAGGATAAGATAAGCCATCATTGTGTTAAAGGGGCTCGTTAAGATAAACACCATCTAAAAGATAAAAAAGGTTTAGATAAATCCTGAAAAGCTTCTATGGTTATGTTGTACTGTGTCATTCCCTAGTAATTAGGACTGCAGCTGTAACCATTTAAGGGTAATTTGATGAAATCATATTTTAACTTTGCAGGCATCTTCTTGTTCCCAAACTGATCTCTTCAGAGTATCTTGAGGCTTTAGATGCTCACTTGTAGTGAGTAAATTATTTAATCTTTTAAATACAAAGAGACAAATCAGGATAGTTCTTCAAGCCTGTGAATGTAGATCTAAAGTATGTCTACAAATAGAGGTTGGATGTTATAGAATCTTTTTAAAAAGTTAACTTCTTAAGAGCTACACTTATAGAACCACTCATAGCTTAGCCTGTGTTAACAATTATAAATTAAAAGCTAA